TGTGTCTTTCCTAAACTAAGGTTCCCACCATTTGTAGTGTGCCTGCAATCTTCAGCAATCCTAACTCACATCAAGTGGGAGTGCCAATTCCCCCTTGTAATGTTGCATGCATTCTGTAAATGGAAGAAAACTGTGTTAAATATAAGCATGTGCTTGTCAGAGAAGACTCAAAAGTGCATTCTTAAAGTCGAGTACACGTTGTAATAGCCTGAACTTTATAACAGCCAACACTATAAAATGTATCTGGATTCTTCAGTAGAGGTAAGAGCGAATTATAATAACTGTCACCCTTTTAAACAGCATATCAACTAAATACACAGAGCATTTTTGCGGACAGAGACGATGAAGCTCAACAATGTGGGGAATGCCACAATAATGTCTTTAATAGGTGTGAAAAATAAAAACACTGCTAGAGATTTCCTATGGTTCTTCCTCTTTGTTCAAGAATTGCAATACATTTCAATTAAATAAGAGAAATTGATATATGTAACCTGAAGGCAACATTATAGGACACAGTTGTTCATCTTAAACGTAAGCAGAACTCATTGATCCTTAAAATTCAAGGAATAGGTAGATTGTAGTTTAGTTTCATTTGATCATATTCATTAATTAAACTACTTATTTTTAATTCATTACGTTCGATTTATGGTGATATTCGGAGAGCGCACAATATGTGATTTAAAAGTGCAGACATTAGCAGGTTGGTGGTCTGGAAATGAGAACATACCGTGGCCTCACATAATATACAGCCTTAAAGACAGGGTCATGACCAGAAGAAAATGTGTGTAAAGTGCAAGTTTTCTTTATGTATGTGTAAGGTCAACATAAATATGGCATTCTCACTGACTAGACATCTGACTACACTCATACCACCCACACATTTTTTCTCACTATCAGTAAAGAAATCACCTCCCAGAAAAATGTGCTTGTCTTTGCCGTCAGTTGTCAACTATATCTTCACCTGATCATGATGGCCTTTGGTTCCGACTTTATCAGCAACAGTCACATTTGTTTTTTGTCAGGTAACAATTCTGGTGGGTTCTCAGAGTGTCCTGTCAATCAAAGAGAAATCTGTGTGGTCAAGGTTTTCTGTCTTGGGTTTATTTGTTCTGCTTTACAGGCTGCCAAAGTGCTGATAAATGAGTCAAAGGGCTGAACAACAGTGGAGTGACTCAATGTGCAATGTGTTCTCATAAACGAGGTGACAGAAACCTAACAGAACAACTTGTTTTCCCCACCATGCATGCACATTGTAAACCTTCATATTTAGAGGTTCTCATACTTCACTTTGAAAGCAAAGTGCATTGGAGAGTAGTGAACTAAGCTCAGGTAACTAAACTAATAATTAAACTACATTTTGTAGTAGCTTGCTGCAGATAACTTCTTTCATATCTGCATGTTGATACAAACAGTACATGTTCTTTCTTATTGTGTGTTGAACCACACAAAAAATCAATGATTCTCAATTTTTATTTAACAATTTATTATGGAACCGCTCTGATTTTGGTCTTTCTGTTAGGCACATTGTTTCTGTGTTCAGGCTTTTAATGTTTTCTGAAAAGGTGAAAGACTGTTTTGGTTTTAGAGACTGATAAGTAATTTTTAAGATTAGTACTCAAGTAGGTCAAATGGTACATTTTCTGTGTTCACTTTTTTTAAATTAACTGTGTTCTTTATTGCTTGCACATATTTGTATTACATTTTTTGTTATAATGTTTTGTACATTGTTCATTTTAGCACATTTTCTAGTTAGTTTTAGTTAACCAAACTAGATTCTTTAGATTTCAAAGCTATGTTTTAATAGTTTCCTTCCGTTCACTGAATATTTAATTTAATTTAATTTCAAACCTTTATTTAACCAGATTGGTCCCATTGAGATCATAGATCTCTTTTTCAAGGGAGACCTGCAGCAAAAGAGATCTTTAATATGATATAATATGATAGTATATGAGCCATTGATAGTATATGAGCCATTGATAGTATATGAGCCATTGTTCTCTTGAGGAACCCTGGTTTGGAAACTTTTTTATTTGATATCAAGACAGATTACCTCAAATATACTAATTACGATTCTTTACAAATACACAGTCATCAAAACATAAGTTTATGTCAAAATATGTAGACACCGGTCAGAATAATGTTCATTCAAATCATCTGATATGAAATCCAGAAATGTCAGGTTGAAAAAACTATACCTTTTTAAGCTTATATGTTTACATTAAGGTAATGATAAAATATTCCACTGAATTTAAGTATAATATTTGACAACTGAGATGTCTCTATTACTTGGATGCCTCTTCCAATTTTCTTAAAAGGAACTTTTAGTGGTAGGTACTAAGCTACAACAGTAAATCAAAAATAAAATGCCCTGTGGCATCTTAAGAACCGGTCTCGATTGCCCTTTATAAGCAATACATATAAATGATGTGTAAAAGTGAAGACTTGATCTCACACGTCAACTATTCTGAGAAATACTTTTGCTGCCTCAAGGAAATGACAGCGTAAATAACATAAGGTTCTTCCTTCGTTAGTCACTAAAAAGATTTATGGCACTGCTCAGTCTCAGTATGCATTAGTAATAACGGCAAAAGTGCTACATGTAGAAAATAGCTTAGAGCAACCATGTGTGCAAGTCAGGAAATGTAAATGCGATGAAACTGCCAGCAGATATGTGTAATTACCTAGTTAAAGTATAAGTGCGAAACAAATTAGATGCTGACTGTAAACTTGATTTTAGGGTGTAGCATGTGCAGGCTGTGCATACTGTCCTCCTCATGGTTGTTGTGATGATGGTTTATTACTGCCACCATGTGGAGAAATCTCCTCACGACTATTGGAGTGACTGACTTCTTATGTTTGCAAGTGTATGTAATATTAATGTTCTTAGTGACTTAAATAAGAGTGTCTGGTCATATATTCAGTATTCAACCTCAGCCATTACAGGGATAAAGACATACTGTATAGCAATAGTTTACGCTCCAAAAATCGTTCCCATATGGCAACAAAGTCATTTCGCTGCTCATTTTCGCACAAAGGCAACTGAAGGAGAACCACTGAAGCATGACGGGAATTGATTTCCTGTATCCATATTTGCATTTGAACTGAACACTTGTGCATGAAAGCCAAAGAGGGCGTTCGGCACAGAAGGTTCCTATGAGTCACCATCATTGCAATACATCACCCACTTAGCCTTCATTCATTCAACACGCCTCTCGCTATGCAGGGAAGAGTACAGTATATGACCATTTTACTTAAAGTGGACCTATCATGCTATATTTAAATGATATATTGTAGGGCCATACCTATATAAAAGTATATTTATACGTTTCTGTTTTCAAAATATCAAACAGATCATGCATTTTAGCCATGCCTCATTTCGCTCTATTTGCTGTTCTCCAGCCCTGTTTTTGCAGGGGGCTGATTCTGTGAGCTGCAGCTGACCACGCCCCCCTGCAGGAGAGGGGAGCCGCTCTGATCAAGTCAGAAGAGGGGGAGAAAAATAGATCTCCGTCCTCCGTGTTTTATTATAGCCTATTATTATTATATAGAGTCGTTATTCATTTGTTTTAAAGCTCAATAAATAACAAAGAAGACCTTTGACCGGCACTTTTCTAATTTTGTCCGGAAGATTTCAACTTTAACGGACATCTTGACCGGCGAAAGAAAACCTAACTGAAACTCTGAAGCACGGTCCCCTAGTTCCTTGGAAGAGGCGGAGAGGTGGGTGTTTGTCATCTGCTGGTGGACTAACCGGAGAGAATTACAGTGCTTGCCTCGACGGGGAGGGATTGCATTGAATTAAAGCAGCAGGAGCAAACGCTTGCCTCGGGGAGGGAGAAAAAAAGCCACAGCGGAGAATAAACAGAAGGGTAACCATGGTAACCATGCGCGAGAAGTCTTCTTCGCTGCTTTTGTGGCAGACTACAGCGCCACTTACAGGCCTGGCATATGTACTACAGCGTCTCCAGCGCTTTCGAGCGGCAATGGCCGGCCGTGGCCCAACCCCACATTCCCCTGATAGGTGGAGAGTTGGCCCAATAGCCGTAGCGCCACCGTCCTGACGTCAGGACAGTGTTCAAATCTGGATCAGTTTTTATCAGATCCGTTGCAGCCCCTTTTTTAGAGATTTGGGTATGGAGGAAAATAGAGAGGGATGTGTTTTCTGACACTTGGTGAGTTCCCTGGAACACCGGGGACACATATTCATGTATAAAAGACGTACAAAAGTGTATTTTGCATGATAAGTCCCCTTTAAAATATACCTACTTCTGAATGTTAAATATCAGGAGTCAAAGGTTGTTATGTTGACTAATTGTCTAGCACAATGGAACAGAGAGTGGACATGTATCATTAAATACAATAACTCACTATAATGTAGCCTACTAAATGTATTTCTTTCAATTATGTCAAAGCAAGACGAGAGTTTAATTGTACATCTTCTTGCTCTTTGGGCTTCAATCCAAACTCATGTCAACACCAATCAATGACACTGTCTATCAGTTTTATGCAAAGCCAAGTGAATTGATTTGAAATGATTAAGGACAAATGTACTTTGCATTTTGACTTTTAGTGACTGACAGGTATATAAATGGCATTTAAAGGGGGCTCGTGGCCGGGCACAGACAGACTGCAGTGATATACTTTGCCAATAGCTAGCAGCTCAGCAGGTGTCCCCACCTTTGCATTTTAAAGAGGTGGGGTAAGCTACTTGAATATGAATATGCAATTAGGAACACATTTTGACAATCAATAATCCTCCTCACTAATTTATAAAACGTATTCAAGAGACGAATTTAATCTATTCAAAGTGTGTCTTAAATAAATAACAATATGCCTAATTACGCGTGTATGTTCCTCTTGCAGCTGAGACTCGGTTACACGATTAAATGTGCATTAGAGTAGAGCATCTCTTTTTTTTTTTTAAATACCCCTCATTTTGCTTTGGTCTGCGCCGGCAAAAAATGACCCGGGTATCAGCAAAGCAAGTGGTAAAGAGGTGCTGCGTGTCACTAGCGGAGAGGTCCACATTTCACGCACGACGTGAGGAGTTCCCGGTGAAAACGCCCCTCTACTCTCCTCCTAGCCCTCGCGACCGTGAGCATCCCTGCCGGCTCGTGCTGTCTGCTGTCCCAGGCTGCAGGGCTACTCCTCCCGCGGCAGAGGAACGGAGCTCCGGGGCGGTGGCGGCGTCCGTCTTCCAGTTCCCTGCGATCTTCATGATCACAATTTGGGCTGAATCTTGAAAAACCCCGGACCTGACAGGAAAGGTATGCCTTGTATTTGTTTGTCTCATACGGTGACAGCGGAACAGGTGCATGCTGCATATGCCGGTTGTTAGGAAATGACATTGTAGGCAAGGAACCGGGAGCGTCTTGGTACCGGTGACACGCTTTTGGCTCAACACCGAGCTCTGCATGCTCTGCAAAGACACCGCTTTGTGCTTCAAGTGTCATGGACGGATAGGGAGGGTGTTGCCACAGATCTTTAATCCGGCCAATATGGTCGGCAGGATGGTTTAATAAGCTGCATGGAATCAGGGCATCCTTTATCTCATGCATATCAAGGCCCTGTAGGCAGACACCTTTCCTATCTTCTTACTGAATCACATAGCGCCAGATCAGCCCTGTTTCTCTACACATCCGACCCATATACGATTGTTCTGAGCTATTCTTGGAAGTGTGATGATTGTGATTTCTCTTTGTGGAGCTATAGGCTAAGCACAGCTGATGCTCGAGATAATGAGCTAATTGAAGCCGGTGTGTGTCGCGGGTGTGGCAGGGGGGGGGGGGTAGGCGTGGGAGCCTCAGCAATAGGAAGGTCTCCTGAATGTGTGAATTGCAATGGGACAAAGTAGGCTATTAAACTGGAAATGCTTGAAAACTAAAATTAGAAGACTGATTTAAAAAGGATACTTCACATACATATGAATAGATACAAAGAAAGGCACAAACTGGCCTTGTTTCATCTTAACAGCTGCTGTCCTTGGTCTATTATTATTTAAAAAACTGTGTCCATTGGGAAATAGGTTAAGGTATTTCCATGTGGATTCAAAAATACAATTTAAACATCTTTGCAATGAGTTTGAAATGTCCTCACTATTCATACTCAAAGCTGTATTACAGCTGTAAACCACAAATACATTATTTTAGGATGTAGATCCTTTTTTTCTGAATTATTTTCTCAAAATGTCATCTGATCCTCTCTCCTAAATGTTATACAACAATATATTCCTTGACATTAAACTTTGAATTGAAATAGTATACACAAATATATACACAAATTAATTGAATATTAGATGTTGACAGAAGATTGAATTTGCATAAAAACATACAACTAAAAAGCATACTCTTACATTTGAGGGACGCAACCAGATAACTTTCTGTGGTAAAAGTTCGGCAAAGAAAAATAACTCTCAAACAAAAAACATCAATATGAGACATATGTATACTTAAAATACAAAAGTGAACAACTCAGCAAGTTTAAATTTCAACAACAGAAAAGTCAATTTATAAAAGTTACCATTATCAGTAACAACACGGCCTTTTGTTCACCCTCATCCTACTCACAGACTGTCAGTCCTCGTGTATCTGGCTCCTTTACCACGCCAAAGGCTACAGATATCCAAGACTGAATTGGTGGAGGCAGAGTCAGGGAGGAGGCAAATTAGATAAAAAATCCATCCATCTGTCCATCTGTACCTTAATGCATCCTCCAGTCTCATTTTTTCTTTCTTTCACCTGCTCCACTTCCAGCCTCCCTGGGTGCATTACAATGGTGCAACTAAGCAGAGTGCTGCTCCTCTGTTATGTCCCTTTCCTCATTCACAACAAAAGGGCAAAGCTTCTTTGTGTGTATGTTGAATTAAACTCATACAGGAAAATAAATCGTATCAATCTTTTTCAAGGCTGTTTTCAAGGTGCTTCAAGGAGTTTAAATGCATGTAATACAATAATGGAATTACATGCTATATTTCCCACAGACTTATTTGCTCTTATATGAGAGGTATGATGTAAAGGACAGTCAAGCAGCTGTTTGTGTAAAACATGAAAGGACAAGGTTATGAGACAGATGTACACATGGCATTCACAGGCAGCGACTCCATTACTTTCAGGTCATAGTGTGACCTCCGTGCAACCTGTCACCAATGCATATTCCATTAGGGCAAAGGCCAGGTCACACGTTATATGGCCTTCAGGATGCATTTTTGTGTCTGTATTTCTGTGTGCGTAAATTCTGCCTGCTTGTTTGTTTAAGGCAGCTCACTTCTATACATCTCTCCCAAGAGTCCTATTACAAGTCATCCTCTAATCGATTTGTAATACCTCATTGAAGCAGGGCCAGCAGTCTGTTCACAGCCAACTTGGAATGCTCCACAAGATAAACGCACGTCACTTAGAAGTGAGAGAAGCTTTCAAAGGCATATTAAAGATAACAGCAGGCAATACATGGTCACTTTTTGCATTACTATCAACATGATATTTTGTGAGATGCAATGCCTCACTCAGAAAGACATCCCATTTTCTGCTTGTTTCTCACATCATTTTAAATCAATCAATGTAAAAGTATGGGGATTTCTTCAAGACTATCGTTGGGCTTGCTGAAAGCAATAATTAACATATGTCTTAACTTTGTCTAAAACTGGAAAGAAAACTGAAGTCCACTTGAAAAGTCAGTTGTAGTGACCTGCTCATTTTAAATGACGAAATTAATCGGATGAAAGTAATCAGATCAGACGTTTTGAACAGACTTAAAATTGCTTGTTAAAAATCTGAAGCATGTTAGCCGTAATGCGAGCAACATGACGGTTAACATGCAAAAGTGATTATTACATGTTACTTGTTAGACGCTTTTTAATCTTACATTACATTGTCCCTCCACTGTGACACACATTACAGCTACATCTTTTCACCAGCCCTTTGTTTTCATGGCAAACTATTTCAGAAGAGACTAGAAGCTGCTTGAAATTGTTGGTCCCCCTCCTCCATCCACAGACCCCGTGTCACTTCAATGCCCCCACCTCTACATGGAAGTCACATCCTTCAGTCCAGTGCCACGGTTCAGTTATTAACCTCATTTTTATTTTACCAATGTGTACACGTGAACTAACACAATATTTCTTACCGGCTGTTTCTGTCTGTTTCTTTGTCTTAATATTATCTTGTGTTGAATTCTGATGTTAGACAAGGGTTCCCATGGTAACTGAATTTTAAACAGGCACGCCTGATGTCTCTGTGTTAACCATCGTTAGTGATGACAGTCTCCTCTTTGGTCAAATAGAAGAAAGAAAAAAAAAAAGAACTGTGCTGCAGGCACAGTGTGGTGCCTGTCATTTTCCTGTCATTGTGATGAAGAGAAGATTTCTTTTGTTTTGTCTATTTGACTCTGCAAGTAAGGCTCAGTTAAATTGCATAGAGGGAAGTGGAGAAGTACACTATGAAACTGCAGAAGATGCTTTTATTGTTAGAATTTGAGAGTTTCTCTCAATTTCGGTGAGCTTGAATTGTGAAGTGGAATATACTCTTGCTTTTTTAACGTTATGTGTTCATAGTGTGTCAGAGGGTCAGAATAAATCGCAGTCCGTATTACATGGATTCCAAAAAATGCACCTTAATTTATCCAATGTATCGAATGTTGTGTTTTTATGCGTACAGTCTGCCTAAATACACATGCGGTGGACACAATAACAGCAATATGTTATGCAATCATAAAATAGCACTGCAAGAAATATTCACTTCAGATTCTGTGGTTGCCAAGGATTTACTGATTTCAATGGTTCAGGTTAAAGGCTGTAATTTGGCAATTTGCAGAAAATGTAAATACTGTACACACACTATAGACAGTATGTAGGCTACTGTAGTGTCTGCAGTCTGCCCTGCTCTGTCTAATTGTATATGTAAACTGCTGCAGCATATTTGTCAGACTGGACTGTTTGTCAGTTAGTGTATGTCAACATGTCTCGCATCAGTGTCACCCACACAAGTGTCTGCAGCGTGATGGTTCTTAAAATAACCCCGCTTTTGATCGAAAACACATTCAATAGATTAGCAGCCAGAGCTTTACAATCATGTTCAAGATGTTCAAATTTATTTTGACACTTAATGTAATGTTCCTCTGCCTTGTTACACATCCTGATGTTCCCTTTAGTAAATGGCGTTAAGATTACTCTGTGGACGTATAATGGCGAAGGACGGGACTTCCAGTCATGTAAACTGGTTAATCTTTAAGATATTCCTCACATAAATCAAACCATGCATTCCGACAGCTCATTTTTAGAGATTTCCCTGCCTGATTTGTTTTAATCAGGGAGGATTAACTTTACAATGCCCCCACCCTCTGCTCTAATCATTTTTGATATGCACATTTGTCACCTTCTTTGACTCCAATCTAAGATAAGTTTGCAATCACACAATCTGTCGTTTCATATCAGCTCAAAAAGTGGAACTAAGTACTTTAGATGTTTAAATGTAGACACCATTGTAACTCCTGTAACATCCGCTGCTTTAGTGCAGAACCTTCCCATGAGAGAGTGTTTGTTCTATGTCGATGCAGGCAGCACAACTTCCTCTGGGCTTGCTTTCTCTTGGGGAGGATGAACTTGCAGCCTCATTGGTTCGCAAGTCGTATCATTTATCTCTGTTGTGGTGTGACATGATTTGCAGCAGACTTTACAGTCCTGCTAGGCAAACTGCTTCCAAGACTGCTGAGTGCCAATGGTTTTGGAGAATGTGTGTATGTGGTTTTCCCTGAACAAGGACATCTCGCCACTCCCACTCTCCCAACCCCCACAGTCCTGTACCTGGTCTCCCAGAGCGAGTCTCTGCACTGTAGGATTGATGGACTGGCTGTATATTCCATTAGGGGGGAAGCACTGATTATAAAGCTTAGATATGGAGGGAGCTGCATGATAAAAAGGGCAAGGCTCATTGATAAAATGTTCAGTGATTGGGTAATAGGGTGGGTGGCTTCTATCTGGAAATACCGTAATTTATCATGTTATGTATAGAGTAGGTCGACTACAGTAGCTGCTTTGGACATTAACTACAAAAAACGCTAACTACTTCAGCTAGTAGCCGTAGTAACCATTACCGTCTTGATACACTATGCTCATTAAATTGTAGATGTAGAGTTTCTACTAGAGTCTCAGCAGTTAGAGGGCTCAATACAATATACAACAAGCCTATGAGTCTACAGCCATGCTAGCAGCTACAGGATGTGTGGCTGTATATAGACACAGTAATGTTTTGTGCTAATGTCAAGCGTACATGCT